AAAAAAGAAAAAAAAAAAAAGAAAACCAAACAAAACCCAAAACAAGAAAAAAAAAAAAAAAGAAAGCAAAACTCATTAATACTTTGTTAACAGAAACAAACAACTGTGATAAAATTATAAGGAAAGGACCCAAGGGCAAGGAGGAACTTTGGTGGGCTCTAGGCAATTTTTTGCCCTTATAGTCAGTTTTCATCATAACAATTTATTAACAATTATATTTTATGACTTAGTATTAAGGCACTTATGTTAATAGTGTACATTAAGATATTTTTTCAATCCAAAAGTTCATTTTCCCCCTGATTTTATAAGCTGTTAAATAATTTTATGTGCTATTGAAAGTATTATAAGCTCTAAGTCTCAAGTTATTTGAGTTCAGAGTTCAGGGATAATGTTTTTTTTGAAATATGATGAGTAGGTTGGCATTTATGAATATTCTTTCACATATACTTAATAATATCAATTTAAGAACTATGTGAAATGTGAAATATATGTAAATATTCTAAATAGATGTAAAATTATTCAAGTATATAAAATATTAATTATGGTTACCTCAGGTGATTTTTACTGCCTTCTATATCTGTTTTATTTATTTATTTTTTCCTACTAAGAAAGTAGCTTATTTTGCATTTACTTACTCATGTCTTTAAAATAATAGGTATGTTTATATTCTGAATCATTCACATATGTGTAAATCCCTGTTTAAATTTAAAAGTTGTGGAAGAGTGTACCTGTCCCCCATCTGTTGGGCACTTTGCTCCTCTCGCAACAGGCAGCTAAAAGTTCTTCGTTTCTTTGTTTTTCCTCCAGAAATACTTTACACGTATAACTTATTCAGATACACACACATGCCTTTTCCCTCTTTGACTGCAAATTATGATTTACACAGTGTTCTCTCTTGCTTTTTTCTTTTCAACTTATCTTGTAGATCATTAATCTGTTTTAATTGAATTTTTTTCAGTAGCCATCCAGACTCTTTTTATTTTTAAATTAAATTTATTTTTTTCTCTTAGTCTTACATTACTATATAAAAATTAAAGTTTTAAAACTATACACATACATATAAAATTTTGTTTTGAAGCAAGTTCATTTGAGTATGACAGAAATGTGAACAATAAAAAAATCACCTGCCCCCCCACCAAAAAAAAAACAACAGTCCTTGCCTCATGCTGAAAATTCCACTCCAGGTTTTACTGGCTGCAGTTATTAACGGCCTTCAACGTTTTCAAACAAGCCACGCCCCTTTTCTAAAATGTTCCTCCACCAGGACTTCTGCCTTCAATTTTGTCTGACTTGTGCCTTCGGATCACACCTTTAAGTTCTTAAAACTCTACTCCAGGTTTTCCTGGCTGCAGTTATTAACGACCTACGGGGCTTTCGAACAAGCCACGCCCCCTTTCTAGAACGTTCCTCCACGCTGACTTCTGCCCCTCATTTTGTCCGGGTTGTGCCTTCGGATCACACCTTTCAGTTCTCTTCGGTAAGACCTTCCCAGGCCAATTTATCTAAATTGAGCCTACCTCGTCTTTTTTACCCCCTTGGTGGTATTAATGAAAAAATACCAATTAGTGGTATGGGTTCCTTACCTTCTAGTTATTTTATCTGTCATTTTTCTCAGACTATGAGCTAGTCGTCTAGGTAGCACATCATGGGCGTTAAGAAAAATAGGTAACGTTTTCCTATATATTTTTACGATTCTGTAGTATTCTGTATCGTTTGTAGGTTTTATAATGCCTAATATAATGCGTGTATGTACTCGTACCCCACAAGTACGTACTGATATATTTCAGGTCTTCGAGGGCGAACAAAACGCCTTCTCAAGCTATCAAAGGAACACCGGTTGCGCAATGGCTGCCAACGGCCGTTAGCAACATCAGTTGGTCCATGGGGTTTACCTAAATAACGCCTGAATTTTTAATTTCAGGAAAAAAATTTTGTTTTTATTCTTTACCTTCATAGTTATCCATATATATTAATATATACATTTAATTAAATGTTACGAAAACGTCGCGGCCGGCGTTATAGGGTAAGGGTTTACAGCCTTGGCTGTCCCATGGGGCAGGGGCAGTTCTACTCTGCGCTATGATAGGCTTTATTTGAGCCCGAATGGACTCATTGACCCGAACACACATTTACAGGTGATACATATGAGGTTTTGAAAAAAGGGGGAGAAAATAAAAATTTTTTTTTAAGATGGAACGGAAACGGCAAGAGGGGAGGCGCAGAGCCTGAACTAGACTAGTTGCTTCCCGCAGGCGCACGCGCGAGGCGGGGCCTGCCTAAGCGTCAACTTTCCACGCCCACAAGCTCCTGATTGGCTGGCTCCCAGCGGACCGGAAGTGAAGCCTGGGTCCGCTTGCCCCTCCTCCTCGAGGAGGAGCCCTGTGGCCTCTGCTCACGTCCAGCCCCTTCGGCGCACCGAAACGGAACCAGCGGCTAGGGGCGGGCCTACGGAGGCTGACGTCGCGGAGGGGGCGGAGCTTTTGCTCGCGGCGCCCGGGGGTTGGATTGAGGAGAGCAGACCGAACATGTAAAGCGCTCGGGGGTGGCTGGTCCGGACTTCCGCTCCTTTCGGGCAGTGGAGCGGCAGGGACATGGAGATTGGCTAGCAGCCGAAGGGCGGCCGAGCCGGGTGAGGAAGGGCGGCCGAGCGTGCACGAGACCGCCGGCTGGTGGGGTCGGGTCGGGGCACGCGCGCGGCGACCGGGCGCGGGGTTGCGTCGAGTAACCGTCGCGGCGCGCGAGGCCCTGGCGCGTGGGGGAGGGGTGGCGTAAACCCTGCTGCCGCCTCTTGCGGGTCGCCTTGAGTAGGGAGCCCGTCTTTCGACGTCTGGTGCGTCTCCTTCCTATCCAATGCTGTCTGTACTCCGGGATCCTGGACGCCAGACCCCTTGCCTGTCAAGCCTGAGTCTATTTCGCGGTCGCTTGTGAGCTATTTTTGGTCCCGGCCCTGAGTAGGTTTCCTTGGGGGTCGGTGGGGGGTGGACGGGAGTTGATCGAGTTCTCCATCTTGGACGTCTCTGTTCCCTCGACGCCCCTCGTTCCTCCAGGGCTTTCCCTTTGGAGAGTGTGCTGATCACGAATGGTCACCTGAGCTCTCCATGCTCCGCGGGAAGGGGATGGAGTGATGACTGCACCCCATTTGGTGCCCTCCCCATTTCCCAGCAGGACAGGCTAAGTGGACTGGGCGCCGGTGCTTTAAGGAAACAGAACATCCTCTCCGCCCTCCACCCCCTCCTCAGGAGGAGGAGCTAGGGCTGAAGGTACCCACACTTCCTAATTGAGGGGTGTTATTGATGAAGTACTTAACCTGTCTAGAAGCTGATGTGGGACTAGGCGTCAGAATCATAGTTCTACCACAGATTTATTACCTGTGTGTGTGCAACAGTAAGTTGGTAAACTTTTCTGAACTTCGTTATGGAAAAAGGGATGTTTGTCTGTGGGGTTCATGTGACGCTCAGATGAGATAAAGTATAAAAACCATGGTACAAATGGGGGTGTTTTGTTTTTTAAATTTCAGAAGTAATTCTTTTGGAACTAGAGTTGGGGCATATATGAATGTAAAGCCTCACTCATTTGGAAATAAGCCCAAGAAATTCAGCTGACAGGATCACATCTCTGCACAGGTAATTATTCTTTAAAGACATTTTTCTGTCAATGTGTTATCAGCAACAGAGTATAAAGATGCAAAGAATGGGTCATTGCCCTACCAGACTCAGGATTGGTGAGGATAGGGCACTTGGTGTGGGGAACAGAAAGACAGGAGTTCAGAGCAACACGGTATGTATAATGGTGGAAACATGTTAAGAGACTTGAAGGAATAAGGAAGCAAGTCATCAAAACCAGACTAGAAAAGAGAGTATGGCTCAGACAAATCTTCCAGACATGAATGAGGGCACTGTGATTTTCAAACGTGGCTTTCCATTAGAATCACTGGTAGAGTCCTTTCAAATGGAAACTGAATTTCATCATCTGCATGTTTTAAGTTTCTAAGTTGATTTGGATGTGAATTCAGGGTAATCAAGACAAGAATCAAGACAAAAATATGGAAGATGGATAGGTTTCAAAGGCCAGATAAGAGCTTCCAGGTAATGCCAAACACCCTGAAGAACTGTAGCAAGAGCAAACGACACAGTAGATGTAGGGGTACATCAAGAGACACTGCTGAAGGCTGGTTATGGAGAACCTGTGTGTTGAGCTTGAAAGTTTGAATTTTATCCTAAAATTGTGGAGGAGCTATTTATGCTTAGAAGAATTGGTTGGATCGGAAAAGAGGGTAGCGCATGCTGACTTATAGATCAGCCAGTTACCCAGGCAGGTCATGAAAAATTTATTGAACAAAGGCATTGACACTAATAAGAAAGTACAGATGTAAACAGAGAGATCCAGTGGAGCTCATTAAGATGAGAGTGAAAGGGAGATACCAAAACCAGACCTACTTCTATGGAGTTGATTCTGACTTGTAACAATCCTATAGGTCAGAGTGCTCCCTGGGGTTATTGAGAGTGTAAATCCTTGGAGACACAGTGTGGAAATTGTGCCCCATTTGACCCCACCACATGGAGGCAAATCACTAAAGGTGTGCAACAGAATAGCAAGAGGAGCAGAGCAAGAAAGTCCCAAGGGAATGCCAATAATAGACTTTGGGGCTAGGGCATGGCACCCAATGAGATTCAACTGGAAGACACTCCTAAAGGTCAACAGAGACCTTGAACTATATACAGTGAACCCTCGCCACTTCGCGCTTCAACTTCCGCGGCTTCACTCTACGCGGTTTTTTGCGTAACAGCGCATTCTCTGTCATTACTGCCACTGATTGGCTCATACTGTACACGCTTCTGTCTGCATCGCTACGTATCGGAGCTACGTATCAGATGCAGTTTTGCTTTTGTACAGTGTACTGTAATTGTTTGCGATTTTTAAGACATTTTATCTAAGCCCTATGATGGCTCCTAAACGAGCTTCTTCTTCTAAGCCTTCTGACAATAAAAATAAGTGCCAGAGGAAGATGCTCACCATCCAGGAAAAGGTAAAACTTTTGGATATGATCAAAGATGGCAAGAAAATCGTGGAGGTTGCACGCCATTGATTGCAGTATTTGTAAGAACTATATGAAAATACTGTATGTGAAATAGTAATACTGTAAACTAGGTGCCATAAATAATATAATAATAAATGATAATTGTAACGTCCAAAATGTTTTACTGTGTTTTCCCTTTTTCATTTAATAAATTGGGTAATACAAGTGTAATGGTGACTAAAGGGTGTTTTTCATGTCCTCTATGCTCTAACTACGAGAATATTTGATTTACAAATAAGGAATCCTACTTCGCGGAATTTCATTTATCACGGTAGGGTCTAGAACCGATTAACCGCGATAAACGAGGGTTCACTGTATACAAAAAAAAATGTATAAAGCTTTACAGGAACAGAAAACCTTCATTTGTATCCTTAGGAATAGGTTTGACAGTTTCTGGGGGACATGGTTGAGGGGGAAGTGAGGGGTGGAAAGGTAGTGGTGTTAACAAACCCAGGGACAAGGGAACAACAAGTGATTCAAATCGGTGGTGAGGAGGGGGTAGGTAGGAGGCCTGGTAGGGCACAATCAAGGGTAATGTAACCAAGAGGAATTGCTGAAACCCTGGTGGGGACTGAGCATGATAGTAGAACAGGAGGAAAGTCAAAGGAAAGAGCTGGGAGGCAAAGGGCATTTATAGAGGTCTAGATAAAGACATGTACATATGCAAATATATTTATATATGAGGCTGGGGAAATAGATCTATGAACTAAAGTGGAGCCCTTGGAGCTGATGCCATTTTTTTCCCACTCCCTCCCCGCTCCTTCCCTCATGAACCTTTGATAGTTTATAAATTATTATTTTGTCATATCTTAACTGTCTGATGTCTCCCTTCACCCACTTTTCGGTTGTCCGTCCCCATGGAGGAGGTTATATGTAGATCCCTGTAATTGGTTCCCCCTTTCCACCCCACCCTCCTTCCACCTATTATTACGTCTTCTAAGTTCACATTTCCCATTGAATTAAATCACCTGAAAAACGTCTTGTGAATTCTATGTTACTATATTGCTCTTTCAGATAGAAATTCTTTGAATGAAATAATTGTCTATTCAACAAAAACAGTGAAGATCTGAAGTACTGTGTCACCCCGTATCCCTCTAGTCTTCAGCATGCTTTGAATTTTGGACATTGTCCAAATTCTCACATTGTCGTTTCCATACCCAAATAGTCAATGCTTTATATTAGGTTTCTTTCTTTCTTTCTTTTTGATCATTATTGAAATGGAACTGTGTTTTTCTCTTATTAGAGTCCAGGGCTGGCAGAGTGGCACTCCTTGCCTCTTAAAGATGGTAGAAAAGTCTGGATAAGGTTTCTTAATGTGTTGTCACCTCTTCCCTTCAAAGAAACTTTTTAGACATGTCTTCCTAATTTCCCCTGCCATGAAATTTTGATCACACATAATATACTGTACAATGTATTTTGTTTTGTTGTTGAAGATCAAAAACTACAGCCTTCAATGTAGGTGTGTTAGGGTTCTCTAGAGAGATAAAACCAAATTGCTGATAATTTAATATATTTATTTATAAAGATAATTAGATATATAACACAAGAAATCAACTGTTAAATTATATACAGATAAATATATAATACAAGAAATGAACAGTTAAATGATAAAGCAGTACAAATGACAGTGCAACACACTCCCGGAAGAGAGTTGTGAGACACTAGCAGTCCTTCAAGTCTAGTCTGCTGCCAGGTCTTCCTCTATATATAGAGAGAGCTAGGCTGTCTCAGCACAGCAGCCAATCAAGGCAGGTCTCCAACTGTCAGCCAGGTCACCAACTGCCAGTCCCCTGCTCCAGAGATGTCTTAAAGGGACCTCAGCTTACAGCGACACAGTTCACAGGCTAGGCATCCCACAGGTAGTGTAGCCTGTACGTTGAGGCACAGAACAAGCAAGGCAGCCGCACACTGGTCCGATGATCAAAGAGCGAGAGACAAGAAAGGCAAGGCTCACCAAGGCATTTATCTCTCCGCCCTTCAGTTAATCCCACTTGTGTTTATCGGCCAGGCTGGCACAATAAACTCAGTAGGTTTTTAACTCATTGTAAAGAAAACAAAAATCCTCATAACGGGACCAGTAGACAACATCATGATAAGTGGAAGGAAGATCAAAGTTAAAAAGGATCAAAATTGTCAAGGATTTCATTTTTACTGGAATCTATAAGCAATGTTCATGGAAGCAGCAAATGAAATGACATTGGATGAGTTACTGCTATTATCAATGCAATGTGTTATACCCTAGGGCAGCGGTTCTCAACCTGTGGGTCCAGACTCCTTTGGGGGGGAGGTGTCAAACAACCCTTTCACAGGGGTCACCTAAGACCATCAAAAAACACATAAATATTTCACAATATGTAGTTGTAATTAATCACTATGCTTTAATTATGTTTAATTATGTTCAGTTTGTAACAATGAAAATACATCATATCAGATATTTACATTATGTTTCATAACAGTAGCAAAATTACAATTATGAAGTAGCAACGAAAATCATTTTATGGTTGGGGGTCACCACAACATGAGGAACTGAATTAAAGGGTCGAGGCATTAGGAAGGTTGAGAACCACTGCCATAGGGGGGATGATTGACAATGTTTTTCTTTGTTTTTTGTTTGCCTTTTATTTTTTTCGTTGTCGGTGGTTTATGGTTTGTTTTGTTTTTTTATAATAAAATGACCATAAAAGTAAACCAGAGTCATTCATAACCTGGGGACCAGCAGATGGATTCTGGGCTCCCACATAATTCTAGCCCTAATCCAAGAACAGTTAGTTCTTACAGCATGGCCCTGTTCAATACTTGCCTTCATGAGATCACTGAAATAAGGGTGATATAGCAAAGTAGGGAAGAAAGCAGATGGTGCTCAGCTATCAATTGGAATAGTGTCTGGGATCATAAATTTGTATTCAAACAAGCATCCATCTAAGTGAGATGTCAACTAAATCCACATGGAAGAAGCACACAAGCCTGTGTGATCCAGTGATGGCAATAGCAAAATCCAAATATGGTGAAGGGAAAAGTATCAGAGCTTAAATTGTGAGCACAAAATTTGTGGAAGGCTATGGGGGACAGAGTCCAAAACCCATCTGCAGAGTGTATAGATTAAGCCTCTGACAGAGTCCCCTCTAACCACAGGGACTGGAACAGCTGTACTATCAGAGAGAGATTGTTGTACACTTGATGGTTATGGATCAAACCATGGTATAATATTACTTGGCTAGTTGACCTACATCTTGACCCAACCAGAATTTGCTCTAGGCTCAAATAGTTCTTGCATGTTCCATGACAGAAATTTCTTCTCTGGCTTTCAAACTATTGCTGGTGGCATTTTCTTTCCTTTTATTTTTCATCTTTATTATTACTATTCTTGTTTCATTTTGTTTTTGTTTATTTTTGTTGGGGTCCCAGTTTGTGAACCAAAGAAGAAATGGATGTGGGGGAGTGGAAAAAATTCTAATTGGTTGATGGGGTGATTGTACAATTCCCCATGACATGATTGAATGATTGAACTATTGAATTATATGTAAATTGCCAATAAAATAGTTGAAGTAAAAAAAAAAGGAATGGATGCATAGAGAGAAAACTGATGCAGTGGCTTATTGGGGCCATGGGGGGGGGGGCCTAGGAAGGTTGGGTGAGGAGAATTTGGGGAGCGAACACTGAATGCAGGTGGGTGGTAGGAGCATTAAAACTGATTGTGAAACAAAAATACTGCCTGTGAGGATGTATATACAACTTTTTAAAAGTGATTTAACTATGAAAGTTTATCTGTTTATATTATATCAAGAAAACTACTAAAAATAAAACCGAAAAAGCAAAGTTGACTAATGGTTACCATGGGTGAAGGAGGAAGAATGTTTGCTTAGGGGTTGTTGAGTTTATGTTAAAGGTGGTGGAATAATTTGGAAAAGGATAGCAATAATGGTAGTGCAAAATGCGTATAATCAGTGGCACTGAACTGTACATGTAGAAGTTGTTGAATTGTAGAATGTTTTATTGTGTATGTTTTTGCCACAATTTAAAATAACTACAAGGAAAAAATTGACATACTGCATTGGGCATATGTGCTGCACAAATGTCACTTTGAGAACTAAGGTGCTCCTTCAAGCCATAGCATTTGTAGCTGCCTTATATACATGTAAAAGTTGAGCAATGAACAAGAACGATTGCAGAATAATTGGTGCGCTTGGACTATGGTACTGGTGAAGAATAGTGAAAGTATCATAAACTACCAGAAGAACAAAAATATCTGTCCTGGAAGAATTACACCCAGAATGTTCTTTAGAAGGAGAGGCCATCACTTCTCGGCCTTTTGGCTAAGATCAAGTGTAGAAGGAGAGGCCAATTAGACTCCTCATGTAATTTGGACGTGTTCTCAGGAGAGACTTGTTCCTGGAAAAAAGAATGTCATGCTTGGTAGAGCATTAATGAAAAAGAGGAAGACCCTCAAGGAGCAGTGGGCTCAAACATAACAAATGTGAGCGGGCACAGTACCTGGACACTGTTTTATTCTTTTGTATATAGGGTCGCTATGAGTTGGAACTGACTTGATAGCTCCTAACAACAAGAGCCTCTGAGTGGACATCCCTGTTTTGCATTTTTCTGGCTCAACATATCCCCTTGGAAGCCACTGTTTTGATTGGACCTTGCTTGCTTGTATACTGGTAAATCCAACATGCATTTCTAGTGAACGATTTGTTCCATAGAATCGTCTTTATTGACTTTGATCTTGCTTTTTTACAAGAGTGATGGAAAGATCAGCTCTTGGAACTAGCTGATCCTCACACAGCACTTTGGGCAACTATTGAACTGTAAGCTTATTGAGATTAAAATATTTATGCCCATACTGCCTAGCCAAGTGAAATTCCAATTTACGTTACTGTTACAATTTTAACGGTTATCTACTACTTTCTGGGCTCTAGTCATAGTTTCTTCATTGGTTGAGATTGACATTTTGGGTTCATATTTGAAGTCTCCCAACCCTTCTTAAAATACTTGATCCACTTGAAAATTTGCTTTATGTGGGACAGAATTCCAAGAAACTTGTTGCAAGGCTTGAGTGATTTGGGAAGATAGCCACTTTCCTTTTGTTAAACTTTTTGTATTAGCCCTTACCTCAAATTTGTTTTTCCCATGCCACAAAAAAATATGCTCTTATATTTGAAATCACGCTAATGAGACTAGGACAACAGCAGAGTTGGTAGCTTCAGGTCAAGGGACTCAGCCACAGAGCTAGTGATGAGCAGACAGCAAAGTTAAGAAGACCTTGTCCTGAGGGGACTAAGAAGGAGGTGTGTTCTGAGGGAGCTGAGTGGAGCCCAGAAATCTGTACTGCACTGAAAGGAAGACTTGTCCATTGACCTTCATCTGTTCCTTCCTTAGTAATCAAATGAACCATAGGTGTAGTTCAGGAGTTCTGTGATATGTTGCCAAACCCAAAAGGGAAAGGGAGAGTGGCTTGTGTCAGATGGGGTGGAGGGAAGTTCGGGGAGTACAACAACTGCTTGGAGAATGTGGAAATCTGACCTATATTAGACCACTGCCTCATAGGAATTGGTTTTGTGCAAAATCTATATTTGAAATTATTCTTAACACCAGCTATGTCTCTTTGAAATTCAGCTTGTATGAACATTTCCTTCCTGTTTTACACAACAGGATGTTTTGGGCTTATCTGGTATTTCTCTGAATAATGTCGCCTTTTTTTTTAATCAGGGAAGACATTTGCTTTTTGTTTAGCCAAGATATACTGTGCTATGAGCATTAAAGGTGACTTCACTACATGCATTTAATGAAGATAAAAATATGGGATCTTAAGTTTTGTTAGACCTCGTTAGAAATCATTTATGGAGATCTCTTTGGATTCTGGACTCCAGCTTACTTGCTAATCTCCAAATTTCATGTTTCTGTAGTTCTGATAAGCCTGCCATACATGTCTTCATCTGTCCTGTGGTATATGTGGGTCCCTGAACTTCCTCTTGTTCCTGGTTCTTCTGGATACTTTGCTGTCTTTTGGATTGCTAAAGCTTAGAATATGGTTTCATATTAACTCTTTCGCTGGCTGGTGGAAGCGTGGATAGAAAGTCACACTACTTTAAGGGCAGTCAAAAACTAAGTATCTTGAGTTTTTGTTTCAGTACATCACTAGAACAGCAACTCTACTCTGACAACTCTGACAGTTCTTTCTCTCCGTCAGTGCTATACAGCTTGGAGCTTCCTCTCTATCACAACTTTATATTGCCTTATGGTATTTATTACTAGCAAAGTGTTTTCATTTAATTTTTCTCTACTTTTCATGTGTTCAACATAAAGTTTATATGCATGGGTGCACGTTTGAGTTTAGTTAGCCATTGTCAAGCTAGTCAGCAGTATGTTCTGGTTGTGGTGGGAGGGACATTTAAAGTTGAAACTCAAGGTCACTGATAAGAAATGTACCTATTCACACAGAATAGACAGACTTTGGGTGGTGGTGTGTTATTTTTCTTTAGTCTTTTAATGTCCTTTTTTCTTCTTCTGAATATAGGTACAGAATGAGCACATGCTGTTGGTGTACGCCAGGTGGTGGTTCCACGGTTGATTTCTTAAAGCGCTATGCAGCCAGAACCCCTACCAGTGAATTTCGAACAGCTGATGAAGATCTCTGCTATTGCTTAGAGTGTGTGGCCGAATACCACAAAGCACGAGATGAATTGCCATTCTTGCATGAGGTAATTTAGATTATGGGTGATAATTTTAAGAGCTTGATAACTAGGATGAGAATAAATTTAAACTTAGATATCAAGGAAGTGATATTTAAACTCTGAAGGCTAAGATTCCTAGCTGCACCTCCAGTATCTTGGAGCCTAGTAGGTGCTAAATAAATGCTAATTGATGAAGAGAATTGAATTGAAATCTAAAGCAGAATTTTATGATTCATTAGTCATTTTAGCTTAACATCAGTTTTATGAATATTTATGTTTAGAATTCTTGTTTTTTTAATAACTTATTTTCAAGGATATACAGTGAACCCTCATTTATCGCGGTTAATCGGTTCTAGACCCTACTGTGATAAATGAAATTCCGCGAAGTAGGATTCCTTATTTGTAACTCAAATATTTTCGTAGTTAGAGCATAGAGGACATGAAAAAACACCCTTTAGTCACCATTACACTCGTATTACCCAATTTATTAAACGAAAAAGGGAAAATACAGTAAAACATTTTGGATGTTACAATTATCATTTATTATTTATTATATTATTTATGGCATCAAGCGTGTACAGTATGAGCCAATCAGTGGCAGTAATGACAGAGCATGCGCTGTTACGCAAAAGCCGCGTAGAGTGAAGCCGCGGAAGTCGAAGCGCGAAGTGGTGAGGGTTCACTGTACTGTTTTGGTTGTTTTTTAGTGTCAGTTTATGAGTACTTGACAGCATATTTGACTTGTTAGAATGGCTTAGTGATTTTCATTATTGGTGAATTTTTTTTTTAATCGTTTTATTAGGGGCTCATCAGGTCCTAATTTTTTCTCCTCCCTCCCTGCTCCCCCCTCTCTCATGAGCCCTTGATAATTTATAAATTATTATTTTGTCATATCTTGCCCTGTCCGACATCTCACTTCACCCACTTTTCTGTTGTCTGTCCCCCAAATAGTTTTTTTTTGGTATTAATTAAGGAACCAAATCATCTGGGATGTTTGGATACATATAAGCAGCCCCCATAGGCATCATCACCCCCTTTTTCCCCTCTAGGTTTGAACGGAAAGTGTAAGTTTATTGATTGAAGGGGGGGATACTTTGGAAAAGAAGTCCTAGTCTAAAAGGCCCCTCGTTTTTTCGTGTTGTAAATATATTGGTAACTACCAATTCAACCACCTATAGTTGTAAAACTTATTTATAGCAACTACAACAATTGGCTGTGCAACCCTATGCTCAATTATGTGATTTCTCCATCATTGTTACCATCCCCTCTTCATCCTGCTCCCAGCAACCAACAAACCTTTTGTTTGTTTGTTTTTAATGATTTTCTTTTTTAAAATTAGTTTTATTGAGCTAAAATTAGCATTATATGATTCAGTGGTTCAGTCATATTAAGAATTGTGCATTTATCATCAGAGTCAACTTTGGAACAGTTTCTTCCTTGTACTTATTGGTATTGATTTCCCATTTTCCCCAGCCTCCTTTGTGGTGCCCCCTGCGACCTCCCCCCAAACAAAACAAAAAACACTGCCATTCAGTTGATTCACAGCAACTCGGGTAATTATTCTTTCAGTTGACTGTCATCAATCTTGGCTTCCTATATAGAACCCAAATGAAACAAGAATGAAGGACAGAAGAAAAGGGCCCAGCACCAGAGATCGTATAAAGAGTGAAGGACCTCAGTCTAAGACAGACCTTGGTCTTCATACGGTTGTCTTTTCTAGTTTTCGGTCAGAAAAGTTGCACAATAGTTGCCCTTTGTGATCTACTTATTTTGCTCACATAGTCTTTAAAGTACCCTCTGTACTGCAGCACGTATCAAGACTTCATTTCTCCTACTGGCTGACTAGTATTCCACTGTAGCTGTGTCCCACATTTTGTTTATCCATTCATCTGCAGATGAATCTATTGCTTCTGCCTTTGACTATTGTGAATAGTGTTGCAGTGAACATTGGGGTACAAGTCTCTATAAATCTCAGTTCTCAAATAATTTGATGCCTAGGAGTGGAGTTGTTGAGTCATATAATAGTTTTAGTTTTGGGGTTTGTTTGGTTTTTTTGAGGAACCACCATAATGGTTTTATGATGGCAGTACCATTTTTCATTTCCTCCAGAAGTGGATAAGGGTTCCACTTTCCTCATATTCTTATCAACATTTGTTATTTTTTAAACCTTAGCATCCTCATGGGCAAATTGGATCTCAAATAGTATCTGATTGTAGTTTTGATTTACATCCCTGATGACTAATATAGCATTGAGCTTTTTTTTTTT